GCAAGACCAAACTGGAATAATGCTTTTAAACTTTAAGCATTCTGCATCTGATCTAATATTACAGCTAATCCATCAGAAATTGATCCTGAAGTCTCTCAAAAATGGCTGTTGCTGGTGTAAATGGCTATAATGAATGCTAGTGTTGTCCTGCCAAATACTATAAGTCCTCATAGTGGCAAAGATAGATCAATAGTTTGTGGAAAGATATCCCCAGCTCCATCTGATAGGCACCAATCTTCATCTCTGGATATCAGTGCTGCAGTGCCCCATGTCAAAAAAAAGGTAAATGTTGTTAAAGAAGTATAATGGAATCAATGAAATACAACCAGAGCTGATGTCACATGAGACAGGATCAACTGTACCTAAACCTCTGCACTGAAACTGGGAACCTGCAATTATTCTTGTTCCCTGTGTTTGTACAGCAATAAATGGCATCCCCATGCCTGTGCTCTGGAGAGTATTATCTTCATAATAAAACTACTTCTGTCTTTTCTTACTTTGTTTTTTGTGAGCAAAGCAAGAAATACCATAGACAAAAATTGGCATCAACTCAGTAGGATGTTTCTGGTCTTACAACCAAGTAAAGTAAACCTTTCTTTCAGAAGGCACCAAACTCAGGGATATGCTGTGGTGAAAGAGTGAAAATAAATACAAGAATTTATGGACCAGCCATTCTGCAGGCTTGCTGATGTACAAAACAGGAGCTTTAAAGCCTACAGATAATATAGATATGTTTGAGTCACACTAAGTTTTGTTCTTTTTTTTTTTGTTGTTGTTGAGAGAATATCAAAGGTTTTGGTCCTGATTATGGACAGAGCAATAGCAGAGTATTGGAGTTGTGATGAATTATTTCTTTCCCAGTGCTTTTGGGTGACACATTCTATTAAATATTAGGGAAGCAGCTTCTCTCAGCTCAGCTCTTGGAGCTCTTGTCTCTCCTCTGCAGATGTTTTGCTGTGTTTTTGTCACTGTGTTTATTCAGAAATACAGTATTTCTGCTGGCTTCCCATTTCACATAGAAACACCCAAAAAAGAGAAGTTTGGGTTATATGTCAGGAAAACTTTGCTGCAACAGTTGGATTTTGGGGGGAAAATGAAGCTGATTAAGCTAAGTGGACACTGTGAGCCATTGGGAGCTAGTTAAACATCACTGAAAATTATACAGGAAGGCAGTAATTCCACAAAATGAAGTGTAAAAACTGGATAATCCAAGTGATTTTTTTTATGGGATCCTTACTGTCTGTTATTTGGAGTGAGACAGGCAATGGTATTGTTAGTAATCCCATGGAAAATTAATTGAGACACCAGCATTTGCAGGATCTCGGTGAGTAATAATTGCAATTTTTTAAGCTGTTACTTCACTATTCAGGATTGTACTTGAAATGGAGAAAACAAATGCTCTTATTTCCTAAAGCTCATACAGGAGGAGTGAGAGAGAAGGGAGTTAAACCCAAGGCAAATGTGCAAATGATTATTAGTACTTTCTTTAGTCTGAGTTTTTTGTCACAGTTTTCAACAAATGTTTTAGAAAAAAAGTAATTGTTACAATATTCTGGTCATTAGTTATCTGGGAGTTTTGTGTTCAAATATTTATTTTAACATGCCAATAATGGTTCTTTGACAATATTTTCATAGTTTAAGATATCTCAAGACTACACCTCTTTTTTTCACTACCCCATATGGTTTCCTTTTCCAAATTTGCAGGAAAGTAACATGATATTTGCTTCATTTAACCTCTGAGCTGGCAAACAGATAAGGATGAAATGGATGATAGGAGAATTAGCTTTTAAATTGCAGAGCACTAATTTAGAAACAATGTAGAACAATGTCATACAGGCTGATGTTTGACTTTTTCCATGCCTAGATGATAATTCTGTGGCTGTTAAAGACAGGAAAGCTATCTAGCAGTTATGGATGTCATCAGCTTTTGTCCAACAGCTATCAAGGACTGTATCCAACTGAAAAGGAACAGAATGGTTTAAATCAGCCAGGAGTAATAGAAGGTTTGGGATTAAGCTCTGTTACATAGGAGGACAAATTCTGCCACCTGCTATGGCTTTACAAACTCAGTTTTTGAAATACAGGTTTCTCTTCTCACTAATTGCAAGTCCTGTGATATTTTAAAATAAAAGTAGCAGCCAGTAATGTGAATTGAAGTGGTTATGATGGGAAACACAGTTGAAGGACATGTTGCTGTGTAGCCATGGTGTGGGGGAGAAAAGGCAGAACAGTTGACAGTAGCATACAGAAAATTTGGTTGCTAAACTTTTACTTTGTAGAAGTGAAACAAGGCCTCCATGGCCTGCTTTGCTCTGGAGGATAATCAGTGTGTGAGTGGGCAGGGTGATATTCCATGGTGGATTGCACCAGTGTGCTCTGTAGAGCCTAAACCCAAATAACATTTGTTTGCCTTAAAAAGGCATGAGAAACTCCAGGTCTAAATGAAGTTTCAGCATTTTTTTGTTCCAAGAAATGGAAATTACTCCACCTCTCACACTTGTTTTTCTGTCTGAGTGTGAGGTCTATTCCAGTAAGTACTCACATGAAAACAGAGTTGTGACTGCAGGTTCAGGGCTGTAGCAGAAGTTAATTTTCATTAATTTAGGATTACTGAAATGTGTTTTGTGCTTTTAAGACAACGAGGCCTCAAAGAATTGCAGAACTCTCAGCTCCCATCCTGACAGGTAGATCATGAAAAAATAATCTCTGAAATATTTAAAACTCTTCTGGATAATTACATATAGTGACAAAGATTTTTCCAAATGAGCTCTTCATGCAAGGTATTCCATTGCATTGTTCTTCTATAGAGACTGCCAGTTTATTTCTTGCACTCTTCATCTCACGTTCTTCTAAGCACATACTTACCTTTCTTTGTTCTGCTTCATATTCCCATTATTGCTTCTTCACTCAGTCAGGCCATTCCAACATACACATTGCACCTGCTTGGATATCTTTAAAACTACCTCTACAAATCCCTAAATCCATTACAGATGCAAACAAGAGCCTTGCAGTGAGACAGTCTGTCTTTTGGACACCAGGTTGTCATCAGAAATCTCACCATCACTTCTTCACCTGCTCATGTGGTACCCAGCTGTGCCTTGCTGGCTCTGCTTTTGCCTGGAGTGTGAGATTTGTTGTTCAGAGGTGAGATTCCCATTTCTGAAAGACTCCATGTCAATCTCTTGTTGGCCTCTCTCTGTTCTTCCAGAGAACATAGAGAATTAGGTTTTGATGGGAGAGAGGGGAATGCTTTAGTTCTTCTTCCATGTGCATTAAAATATAAGTGCATATTGTAAAGAAAATATAGCTGCTTAAGGAAGCAGAGTGGTTAGAGTGAAAACTTCCAATAACTCTGGAAGCCAGGGATCTTTACATGTTTTACATTACAGTTCACTGTGTTAACACTTGGCCACGGTGCTGTGCAGCTCCTAATGCATCAGAATGATGGAAACATCTGGGCTAAATAGCTTCATGCCTATCCACTGAGAAAATTCACCAAGGATTCAATACTTTTTAAGATATTTCATTTTCTATCTAGGAGAGTAGGTTGTGTTATGCTTATATACCGATTTACGAAACACACAGGAACATTTTGTTTCTTTTTTTTTTTTTTTTCTTTTAGTCTTTTAAGTGCCTACAGGGCACATCTGTGCTTTTTTATTAAGAGCTACGTTATGGCTGGGCCTTGCATGGCTGCAGTGTGGGAGAGGGAGCAGAGAAGTTCTTTTTCCCTTTGCACAGCCCATCCAGAGACTGCCAAAAATTACAAACCTCTCCAGAGCCAGGAGTAATCCTTTGAAAAGAAGATGTTTCTGCTGCATCTCTGTCCTGCTGGCCAGGAGAGCTGGCTGACCATGTGGGAAAGTACCAAATTACTCTGCTGCAGCACAGCCAAGGTGTTGTGCAGTTGGAAGCCCCTTTGCTGCAGGCATTGCTTCCCACACTCTGTCTGTCCCTGGCACACCCTTCTGGCAGGACTGCAGGAGCAGCACGTCCACTGGCATCCTCTGAGCTCGCCCAAGTGCTCTTCTGGGGACAGCAGCTCTGCTTTGGTGAGTTTGTGTTGTGCTGGTAGAGAGGATGGTCAGAGCAAGCACTGAAATGTGCCTTGAGGTGTCTTGTAGGGCACACGCAGCTCACAGACTGTGAGGTCTGTAGTGTTGTAAGCTGATCCCATTTAGTGTCAGAAGGAGCTTTTGGGTTGCAGAACTTCCCTGCCTCCCTGAAAGACATGCATGCTGTGCATTGTTCTGCTGCATAACCCTTATAAAAACCTAATAGCTGGGTGTTGTTCCAGGTATGACTTTGACCTGTGTCTTGCAAGTCAGTGGTGAGCATGTAAATGTCTTGAATTTCAGTCCAGCAGATGATCAGTGTGGGGCTCACTCTGACACCATGTAAAAAAACTGCAATTAAACTTTTATTGTTGGGCAAACCCTACATTTTTGTTCTTAAAGAGGTGAGGGATTGCTACAGAGCATTCATTTTTTTCCCTGGAAGTATTCAAGTGCTGGATACATCTTTTAATTGCTTCCTCCTGGCTCTGAAAGCTCAGCCTTCATCTGGTGGTCAGGTTGCACTTCAGATGAGGCAAGGAGCTGGAAAAGAGACATCTTGTGTGTAAGGGACTGGACTGTGCTATGCCCTTACTTTTGGAAGTGACAAGTTTGCTTAAATTAACTGCTTGATCAGGACTGAGAACCAGTCATGGACTAGAGATCTCGAGGTGTGAGGACACAGAGTTGGTCTGCTATGAACATGAATCTTTCTGTGTGAAGAAGAGAAAGCTATCATCCTTTCTGTAAGTGTCAGATAAAGCAAATTCAGCTACACTCGTGCAGCATGAAGAATACATAAACTTGTTTTCTTCAAGTCATATCCTTCAATTTTACTCACATTTGAGAGCAGTAAATTAAACTGCTTCTCATGGTGTGAATTTCTAATAGTCTGATGCAAAAATTTTGTCTCCTTAATTAATTTGGACTTTTTTTTTCTTCTAGTGAAGGGGATGATTTTCACCAACAGTAATGTTTTAAGCTGATGTGATAAACTCTTGGTCTAATGGAAAACCAGTTAAAAAGCAGACCTGGGAGCATCAATACCAACTTGCCATCCAACACTGCTCTCCTTGAGTAGGTATGTGAATTTTAGTATCCCTTCTCCCAAAGGTACAAAGGTTTTGTTGGATATAAATGAGGACCTTTCTATGCTGTGCTGACTTTCTCTTCACCAGGCCAAAGAAATGTAAATATAGATCAGGAAATGTTCAAGGCAGCCCATGGTGTGGGGAGTTAATCTATTTTATATGCATATAAAAAGCTTTTATAGGGATGATCATCAACACAAGCTCTTGTCTGATGTGCACTGTAAATAAAGTTGTGTCCCAGGCCTCTAAATCTCAGCAGCCTGGAGTGCTGAGAGCACTGAGAGCAGAGTGCTGGCACGTAGCTCTTCAGGTCATTGTGAGTTTCCCAGCTTTCAGCCGAGCCCAAAACACGACTGTAAAAGTGAGATGAGGCCTCTGTGAGCATGAGCTTCCCTGGGTGCACTGGGATTTTCTGGGATGAGAACAAAGTGCCTCTGGCTGAGGGCTCAGCGTTCTTGGTGACTAATCTGGAGCTGGACACTCAGCCCCAACAGGAGCTGGTTCCTCTGTTCTGGGTTCCAGCTGCTGGGCACAGTTTGTTGTCTTTACCCTCTGCAAACCATGTAATGTGTGTACTTAAAGGAAAAAAGTCTACAAACTTCAGAAGATGAAAGACACCACTTCATAATCTTCCACCTCTGAGTATAGGAAAAAAGAGCCAACGTGCAGCCACGATTATATTTAATGCATTGTTGCCAAGTATTCTGAAAATCCATTGAGGAGTGTTCTGTGATTTTTGTATGCACTGGAATATAGTGTGCAAAGCTGAACAGGGTTTAATTTCCTTCCCGTGCTTGGTGTCTGCAATGACTTAGAATCTCTTAAAATGTTTTGCCAAAGTGAAGCACATGTCCCAGTTCAAATAGGAATAATGATGGTGAGTATCTACTGGAGAAGGTAGTGTTTTGTTTAAGGTTCTTCTTTGTTTGCTTTCTCTTTTTTTAAATTCTGATTTGAAAAATAAAGAACAAAAATCTCTTGCCTGGAGTAAATGCCAGGGAAGAGACATAGCACAGTGTGGTGTTTTTGCATTAAATACCAGCTAAGTGATGCAGCTGGACTTGTTCAGTTGGCATTACAGAAGTTTTCAAGTCCTCAGATGTACTGGTGACATGTACTGGTGACTGGTGAGTGTTCTGACATTCAGGAATACCCATCTGTTGGTGATTTCCCCTTTGTTGTAGATGCACTTTTCTCAGCTATTCACAGTACTGAAAGTGCCAAGTGTCACATTCACACTGGTTAAGGAAATCATTCATGAATTGAAAATATATTTTCCAGGACATTTACTGACTGTGTGTCCAAGGGGATCCCATCAGCAGCCCAAGAGGGAAATGCTGTTCAGAAAAATCACAGGATGATGCCTTGTACCCTTCACTTGTTCTGAGGACACCCATGATGTCCATCAGTTTTCTCAGATATTTTCAGGTGGAGAGGGATACATTGGCACAAGCTGTGTATGGAACAGTTCTTTCTTTGTTTAGAAACATTTATTCAAACTTAGTTATTTTTTACTATTCTACATGGTCTTTACTGAAATGGGTGCAGTGTTTATTTTCAGTGTTTCGGAAAATACTGTATGTAGTTTATTTATGTTTTAAGCCTTTTGAATGGGAAGAAATAAGGTAGGGTTGTCAGCATGTTCTGCATTCTCTGCTTTCCTAATGGCAAGAACTTCTGTGGAAAGTTGGAGGAAGAAGTTGATCCCACAGTACAAGTTTGGCACGTCCCCATGGCCTTGAGATGGTGTTTTCCCTGGAATGTCTGAAGGCACCTAAAGGTAGGTGATGATTGTTACTTGTGTTTTACAGTTGGTAAAATTAAACCACTAGAGGTTTAAGTGGTTCACCTGAAGATCAGATAATAAATCCAGGGTGTCTTAAGCACCAAACTCCTCAGTTCTCAGCCTCTGGCAGCTTAGCTCCACTTAGAAAAGGAAAATAATCCCCAAACTCTCTAATTAGTCATGGAAGGAGTGAATGTGCAGGAATCTCATACATTTTCAATCACTCAGTTCTTTCTCATTGATGCAAAGCGTTTCTGGGGTGTGAGTTCACAGGGAGAAAGGGTGACTGAGGTGAGAAGTGTTCAAACAGCTGAACAAACCACACATGCACTTGAAATTACTGCAGGGTTTGTAAGTTCATAAAAGCCTCATAACTGTAAGGTTTATTAGCCAGCATAATAATTTTCCAAGGGAAATAGGGGGAGTTGTGAGTTAATTATCCCTCCACTATGCTGCATGTGCTGTAGCACTGGAGAAAAAGATGATTTTTCCTTTTTTTTCTGCATATCATTGACCAACATAGAAGTGATACAGAGAGGTTATGTGGCTACAAAAACAAGGCAAAAATCCCCAGCAAACCAAAGAGTGACACTGGGGTGTGTCATGTTGAAATGCCACCAGTAGAGATAATTCATTATTAATGCTGCACACAACAAGGGAGCCTTTGGGGAATGTTTTTCTCTGACTGTGCCGTTTTTCTCTGACTGTGCCATTTTTCTCTGACTTGCAAAAAAGCTGTGTACACACTGAAGCTCATTCAGAGAAATGAATGTGGCACATCAGGGGAATGGATTTCCAAGCAAAATCCACAACTTTTTGGTGGATTGATTTATTTATCTGATGTGAATTTTGTTAGGATATTGATCTTCCAAAGTGTGATTTCTGTGGTTAGAGTAATATCCTTGGTGAGCTTTCATGCAGCTGGCAGGTATGATTCACTAAAAGTTTCTATTTTAGAGGTTTTTGGTTCTTTTTTTGCAGGAAAAGTAATTTTTTCCACAAGACTCTGAAAGAAATTTATAATGCATATAAATGGAGTTTATTAAAGCTTTGGCAGATCGTGACCCACGTTAATTTGTAAAACTCAGCATCTCATAACAAGTAGTCAGGTTTAGTGTTCTTGGGTTCAGGTAATGATTCCTGGATCAATTCTCTGATCCTCACCTCAAGCAGCATATTTTCTTGGACAAGAACATGTTTTTTCCAGTATGTGTGGGACAAAAACTTGTATATTGATCAGACCAGCTATTTCCTGATAGAAGTATGAGAATAACTCTCATGTCTGAAGTGGGTAGCAAATACTAAATTATCTCAACAGCTGCATGAGCTAAACAGACATTTGAAAATAATGCCATTTATAAGCTCCAAAAGCCTCCAAAGAGTAAGGATTATTGGTCAGCCTACTCATTTTCCAAGGCAAGTAGGTGAAATGAGTTAACCCTCCAGTACACTGCACACATTTTGGCACTTTGAAGAAAGTACAACATGGAACAGTGTTTCACATTTTATTTGCTGATGAGAAATCAAAAGCACTGGGGAAAAGCATTGAGAAATAAAAGCACTGGGAAATCCCTACAGTTGGTTTTATTTTCTTTTTTTTCAACTGCAGACTGTTATGCCACTTAAAATAAACATGGTAATCTACCAGACTAGTATTAAGATAAATGTTTTGTGGCCTCAGCTAAGTCCATTTCCTGCACTCATTTCTCAGCGTGCAGTTGAGAATGGCACCAGCTGGAGCACTTGGGAGGGATGTGGACAGACACTGATAAAGCACTTGGTCAAAAAGAAGAAGTAGTTGATCACACCCATGGGTGGTCCTTTGCAACGTTTTGTTTACAGGAATCTCTGACATTATTTGCAACAAAAGCACTGGTGTGACAGGAGGCTGTTCTGGTTCTTCTGAAGCGTTCTGTGTCACTTCATAGGCTGACGTCCTAAAGAGGGAGATGGAGAGGGCTGGGCTTCAACTCCTCTGATGTAAGAGATCATGCATTTTTCCTGTCTGTGACAGGGTATTTGTCATTTAGAAAGGTGACTGATTGCTAACCTGGTTATTTTCCCTGAATAAAGGAGTTGAAAATGGACTGCTCAGCTGAGTGGGTTTATTCCTAAGTGGATCCAGTAGTTTGAGATGCTAAGGGATAAATACATGGTAGGGCTTTGGATTTGGGATATCCATGAGATTGAAAGGCCAGGAATTCAGTGAGTTTTCCTTGGGACAGGAAGAAACAAGGCAGGTCTGGCCATACAGAGTTGTTTGCAGGCTGAAGAGAGTTCAAGTTTAGCAGAAGGTGTTAGATCACTCTAAAAAGTTTCCAGAGAGTGACAGGAGACTTGACAGCAGAATACCTGAAACAGCCCTGGAGTCTCCTTTTTTGTTTTTAACTTCCTCTTCAACATCTGTGTTTTTTCCAATGAAACTTTTGTAACAGTAAGGTACAGTAGACAACAATCCCTCCGTGGCAATATTTCTCCTCCTAGATCTTGAAGGAATACTGCTTTGGCTTTCACAGTTTATTTACTGGCATTGCCTGTGCTGGCTGTAGGAAGACCATTACAGTGTAGTTCTGTGAGTAATAGGGGCCTGATGAGCTCCCAGCAGATCATCTGAAGGCTGATGCCATGTTGCAGGAAACTTAAGAGAAGCCCTTCAAATCATCAGGTACTTTTTCCCCTCTCAGGACTTGCTGTTGCAGAGTTTCAAGACTCCCTTTGAATGGTCTATCGTTCCTCTTTGTGTCCTGTGGGAGACAAAGAGCTGCTGGATGTAGCTGGTCATTATGGGAATCCTCATGGGTGTCTCACTAGAAATAACAGATGACAAGCCATTGCAAAGAGATGGATTTCAGAATTACATGTACATGTACATTACAGTGGATGATAGAGGTGACAGCAAAGAAACATCAATAAGAACTTGGTGTAGGAAAGCTACTGCACTGACTCAGTCCCCTTCAATAAAAATGAGTGTGGTCCATAGATTTTGGTTATTCCAGCAAAGCACAGAGTTTAGCTTATCACATTTTCATTTTCATTTAAACTTGCAGAAAGGTTTATTGGAGCCTTGAATTCCACATCAAAACCTTTGAAAATGTCAAAACTTTAGAAGGATTTTTTTCCCCCCATTCACTCATTTCTGTTCAAATCCATTTTTTCCATCAGCTGAGGATACTGGCAGATGAATTTCTATCCCTGAGCTAATATTCATTCTGGTGGGACCCCAAACTAAGAGAGACCTTGATGGGTGTTCCCCTCCAGCAGCGACCTGTGGTTCTTGGCAGCCCTGGGAAGGAAAGGGGCGACACCAGCCAGAGGAAGGGTTTCTGTTTTCAGTGCACCAGCCAGATTTTGGGTGCTGCTGCCAAGAATGCAGATTTTATTAGTGCTGCAAAAAGAGACTCTGTTCAGGGGTCTTTATTTTCAATTCCAGTTTAATTCATGTTAATACAGCAAAGCATATTCTCCACTACCCTAATGCCATTTCACAGCCCCGGGTGGAGTTGCCCTCGTGTTACAGAGTGGAAATGGGTTCAGGGTCTTTAGGGAGTCGGAGTTATTATACCTGATTTAAAGCATAAATGGGGAAATTATGTTGGTGGGGGAGAGATGGAGTAGGGAGAGGAAAGGCCTGGGATATGTGAAGTGGTTTCAGTAAGAACCAGTGTGAAATTTCATCCTGTTCTCAAGAAGACACCAGCCTTTTCATAGTCTCCCCCATTTTTCCAGGCTGAAAGTAAATAAGTAAATAGCTCATGCTCCCACTTGCTGGCTTCCAAGGGAAACAGTGGGTACAAAAAAGACACAAAAGGTCATATAATGGCTTGAAAGGAAAGAGTTTAGAAATGGATGAGGGTGAGGTAGGATTGGTTCTTAAGAATTGTCCCGTTTGGTTTCTGTAGCAGAGGACTGCAGCAGAAGAATTTTGTTCACCTATTCCTATGTTCACTGTGTTCACCAAACAGGTGCTGGAGTGAAGAAATACTTAATTACTGAAACTTTCATTTACATTAGCTCTAAAGCCTCATTTTGTTACTAACTTTAATTATCCAAGCCAAATAAACACCGAGGAGTGTGTCTCACGTTAATTTAGGCCCAGGCTCAGGAAGGTAATTTAATTAAGCACCAGTGTAATTCACAGCACATTAGAAGTCCCACTGAAACCTACTTGTGCTGCTTTGCAGTTGTTTTGAAGCTGGTTTTACTTCTCCACGCTCCAAGACAAGCCAACCTTATATTTTTTCATTTCAGCTCAAGTTATGAGCAGGGGAGAAAGGCAATTTGAGGTTAAGTGGAGAAAAATTTTACAGACTACTTAGGGAAAAGCTGAATTTGAAGGAGAAATGAATGCAGAGGATTTGAAGCATGTGTGGGCTGCAGGTGGAGGTTCCTTGCTGTGTACCCAGTTCCCAAGGTGCTGCTTGGATGGGTCTGCACAGGAGGGGACAAGAGGCCACTCTCTTAAATACCCTGGGGCTGGGCTCTGTCGTGCCCATCACGAGGAGTGCCATGATAAAAACTCTGTTGGATGCTGGCACAAACCTGATCTGCACTTCATTGCTCACCTTGCTTGCCTGGCTAGCTCAGAGTGTGCTGGGGGAGCTTTTTGCTGCTGCTGAAACTGTGGCAGAGGAATTGCCTGAATTCATTTCTGTTCAAAAGTTCTAAAGAAATTCTACCTTGGCATTA